AAAATCCGTAAAGCTATGCAGTAGCGTGAGCTTCGTTTACACTTGACAAGACTTTACAGGTCTTACCGAGACGAAACATGTAATCCAACAGGAACTAGCAAAAGAAACCAATGACGTGTAGAGTGCCCCCTCCACACAGCCATGGGCGAAGAAGTAGGGGAATACGCTTATGCTAACCATAAGCTATGTCCTGTCCACGGTTAGGAGGAGCGAAGTGAGCAGTGTCGATAACGAGGATTCATAATTTGTCTGCACAACAACTCAGAGACCGGATGACGGGTGGACTCATGAAACATGTGGGACACCTCCGCAGTGGAAGCGCGCACCTTAGGGGTGGTGCTTACCACAAAAAGTCCATGGTGGTCTGCCACAGTTTTGAAACCTGAAGAATATTAACATAGAAGAGCGGATAAGGTGAGTTGAGCTTGGGTGGGGAACAGTTAATCAAAAACGGGGATTTTGGTTGTAGAACAGTCCGGAAACAGCAATAATTGGTAACATTATCAGCAACGATTAGGAAAACAGTACGTAATGCCTACTGTGGGTGGGGCGTGCGCCAGTGTGGGAGGGGCTAGAGTGGTGAACTCGTTAATCGCTTCCAAAATAGCCAAGTGAGGAGAAATAAGACCAGGGTGAGCGGCGGGATGACAGATGAGATGAGAGAGAAGTATCCGCAATGGGCGGAGCTTGCAATTAAGTGGGCGGAGCGTGCTTCGAGGTGGGTGGAGCCAAAACCAAGAAGCCATTGCGATTCTGGAACAGCACAGAAATGGAAATCGAACAAGGTAAAATTATTTTTTCACGGGATGGCTAGGTAAACGTAATCTGTTGTTATGAGGTTCTTATTTAAAATTAATTGCTTTTTGCAGTCTCCTATTTATTTATTTATGTAAATATTTCTCCTATTCAGGCAGCCAATGCAGCTATTGCTCCCGGTTCACCATGGCGTCGCATGGACGGAGAGCAACGTGCCCAACTTTTACACAAGGTAGCAGATCTTGTGGAAAGGGACAGGAATATCCTAGCTGTGAGTACCACTCTGACATGCTGTAGGGTAATATGATACCCTGTAGCCCATTTTGTAATTTATCCACTCTAATTCCAGTCACTTGAATCACTTGACAACGGGAAGCCGTTTACGACAGCTTACGATGTCGATCTTTCATTATCGATCGAGTGCATCAGGTGAACTTATCGTAGTATTGTTCGTTTTTGGAACAGTTTTACTTACAAATAAGAGGTGCCGGCTTAGTTCGGCGACGGGGAGGCAAGTTGCACTTTCGCTGCTTCACTAGTTCCGGTTTACAAGTCTCACTCTGGTGAAACGTGTGAACTCTTGTGAAGCTGAAGCAAGCTCGTCGAGCGACCATGTTGAAAACCTGTATTGAGGCTTATGCAACGTTTGCATGGTTCTCTCGCCCACGTACAAGGGGAAAAAGCAAAAGTGAATGCCCCCCCGCCGTTACCGGATGTTTTGATCTTTGATTCTTACAAAATGATTTTTTTACTGGTCCGTTTGTGTTTCGCCCCGACCTAGAAATAACCATGGCGCCCAAGTTTCTAATTAATTATGGCAAAAAGACAATCGAAGACGATGGAGAAGTCATTTCCCAGTACACCTTCAGATATTACGGCCACACTATCACGCCTAGATGGGAGACACACCCCACAGCGTCTGGAGTTTGCGCGGTGAATTATTCCGGTATGTTGCCTACAAGCATTCTCCAGTTTGCCAAGAGGCATCTTAAGTCTTTCCTGGAATGGTGTTGTGGCCATGCCAACCGGGTCTAACATTGCTGGTCATGTCTGTCTTGTTCACTGAGACACTGGGTTATTTCAGGTGGGGGGCGGCGAGCTCGGTTTGGAAGGCGAGCGACGCCGAGTCCATTTTCCACGCAACTGTGGGAGTGAGCAAGCCGACATATTAATGGTGGAAAACAGGGCTCCCTGGGCGCAGTAACTCAACCCATCCGTAGTCCTTGACACTGGCCCCAACATCCCGCAGCGATAAAATGTAACACCTCCGTTCACAACAATTCATTCCCGTTGAAAGAATGGGTGAGGGTAGCATAGGAATCTCCATTGGAGGATGAAAAAGGTCATTTTCTACGTCGCTGAGCTTTTGACCCTCTCAGAAATAGCTGTCCTAGGCCCTGAGCTTTAGTCCTTTACCCAGCAGCGCGTGGCGTCCAGGTTTCTCCATGTTGTGTCAAGCGAAAAAGGCGCTAACAACTTTAACTGGTTTATCCTGGAGCTGTAATTTCTGGAATGATATCTTGGCATTTAGTCGGATTTCACCATTGTGACCCCTAAACCTGGTCTTGCCACCAGCACTAGCAATGGGTAACACAATTGTGATGAAGCTGCCACAACGAACGCCACTATCTGGGTTACATATGGCCAGTCTCATACAAGAGGTGAGTTTTAGTTGAACCCGCTTTGGCATAACAACCTGTCTTCGAATAGAAATCTTACCGTCGAGTGGGAAAAGGGAGAACTATCGATCAGAAAACAAAATTTTCCATACCAAATGACCTTCAGGCGCCAAGTATGTGCCTCCTGTTGGATGCCCACGTATGAGTACTGACGAAGAATCGAGTAACCTAGTCATTACTCCCGCGTAGCACTTCGCCACTCATATCATGACCGTCGCCGTGAACGCTGACCGAGGCAGTTTGGCGACGGGAAAAGGGGCTTCGAGACGGGGGAAGGGTATTTTGTACTTCCGTTGCATTCCATCGTCGCGTCAAGCCCTAGACGAATATTCATGAGTTCAGCAAGAGTTCGCAAAGTTTGCCGGTGCGGCTTGACGAGGCCTGCTCCCAGTTTTCACAGGAGTATTACAGTTTCACTACGAGTTACACTGTAAACCGGCACTAGTGAAGGCAACGCAAGTGCCGATAATGCCCCCCCCACCGCATCGCTTGAACTGTGGCCGGCTCGAATTCTCTTCATAGCTGGGTGTGAACTGTATAGGAGGTGAAGTTCTGGCATAATTTTTGTTGGTGCAATAGTACCGCGTCGAGTGAAGTGAATAGGAATATTTTCGATACTGGGCTTCAATTGTCCAGAGCTACCCTACCAGGGCCAGGTCCCTCTTATGTGGTTGAGGCTGACCTGGTACATATCGTCTTCTGTCACACAAAAGAATGAATTTCAGGCCGAATTTCCCGAAGGGGTAGTCAATGTGGTGGTCGGCTACCGTACAAAAGCAGGTCGAGCTTTGGTCACTCATAAGGGCATTAATAGGATGACTCCCATCAGTATCTCACGGAAACCTGAGGAGACATCACATATTTCTGAGAAACGTACGTTGCCATATCTTTCATGGGAACAGTGATTTTCTATGAACTTTCCATCAACATTCAGATGTTCAGATGGGGATCGATTAAAGAACTTTTCGCTTTTCTGGAGAACTTTGCATTTTTTCAGATTCCCCATAGAACTCAACGCCCGAAGTCCGACCATTGTCTTCGCTGATTCAAATTGTAAGCATCGCTAAATTCGCAGTTTTGTAAGTGAGGATAAGGGCAACTGAGTTTGGCGCTGAATGGTTGGGGGCGGCGCAAGTTTCGCACTTTTGCCTGCTTGTAGTTCCAGTTTACAAGTCTCACTCGGATGAAACCTGTGAATTCTTGTGAGCTGGAGCAAGCCCTTCGAGGCAAGGTGTAACCTGACAACTCTTGTAAGCTCACTGACTGCTCTTTAGATGGCTCGATAAGTCGATGCGGAAGTAGCAAAAGACGAAATACCCCCCCCGCAAACTGCCCGGGTAGGGGAGGAAGCTCTGATGAGAAAGAAGGAAAAACGAGCGGAATGATAGATGTAATCATCCTCTGGCAGAACCCACTATTTAGAAAGATAGGTGATTCGGGAAGATGCAGGAAAGGGGAGGGTAGTGTACGTACTGATCCGGAAAGTGCGCGATGCTATAGTCTGCGATCAGGGCACGTCCCTCTCCCTCACTGAGAAGAATTTTTGCAAAGTGTGACAGCCCTTCCGCTCAACTCCCAAAAGAATTTTAAGGTGCGGGGCGTAGAGTGCTCTGTAGCCGCTTTACCGATTTAGCAGTTGGACCCCGCGCACCTTGGCGCGCGCTCCGCCTACTATAGTTGTGCCTCCCTTACTCCATCCGGTAACCCGTCGCTGACCTTCATACACTTTCCGGTGTCTAGAGCACTCTGAAACCGTTTTTCCGATTTCTAGTTGGGCAACGCCTACCTTGGCGCACGCACCGCCCACTTTTAGTGTGTGTTCCCTTCCCAATTGCTAATTCCGACGAAAAAACTTCACTGCCCCCTTCCAGCGTAGACTGGGTTGTGGCCCGTTATCGGCAGCAATCATCGGAATTGCGCGAAAAATAGTGGTTCGTTCAAATAAGCGACACGAGAACGATTTTCAGTGGACGATGCCGTTGAGCAAGCTCACTATGGTATGTTTTTCAATAAAGGTCGACGCTACTCTGCTGGTTCACAAACGTTCGTCCAATCAAAGGTGAGTAAACACTTCCTTTCCCAATCTAACTCGTGGGTCATACACGATTTTTTACCAATTTGAACGGTTTTGACGCATAGCTCAACGCCTCCAAAACTCTTCACTGCTCAAAACACTCACAATAACGACAGGATGTTCAAAGGGTGTCTAGTTTCACCTCTTTTCGAAAAAATATTACGGTATGGTGGTGGGCTGGGAGCAATAAGCACTCATAGAGGAGCGGTGGGGGGGTTAAATTGGTTGTTGGCGACAGGAGCTTTTTTTGCGCCTTGAAAAGAGAACTTTTTGTTTTTTTTTGTTTCAGGCGCAGGGGCTTTATAGATCCTATCCTCCTGAAAATATAAGGGGCGACTGTGTTTGGAGTCGTAGCGGTTGTTTTAGGGTGGGGTGGGGGGGGGAGGTTGTGTTTGACTTCGTCCTTTTGCGTGGTGTGGCACGGGCAGAGGCGAAGTTTTATACCCTAGTTCGCTGCGGACGGTTGGGCGTGTCATGCAGTATGAGTGTGTCAAGCTGTCAGAGCCGTTCTCTGCCTTCTTGTTGAAGCGCATATGCGACAAGAGTGGAGAAACGCAGTACATGACGAACGATCTTATACAGTCACATCAGCTTGCTCGCTTTAACACGTGGAGAATGGGTTCGGCACCGCGCCAGAACTCATCCAGCAGCTGAACCCCATCCGCTCTCAGCGAACTAACACCATAACTTATTTCTGGTAGCTGATCAGAAACGTCTTCGTCACCCCCTCCTTTCCCCATATTGGTGGACCAGCAGCGCTTTATCATTAGGAAACATCGGTAGACCCCATAATTGTGCTCTGAAGTAGTACTTTTCAATGATCCGGCACCTTCCGAAGGTTCGATTGCCTTCTTCCTGAGCTTCGAAAAAAAAGGCCTGTCAACTAGGGGAGGGCGAATGCAATTATTGTTACAGGCTTTTAGGTTAAAGTAGTCCGTCGACTATTGGGGGGGAGGGGTGGCAGTTGCGGCGAGATCAAGATCAGACCGTTTTCCGTTCTTCGTCTTACACGCGGCAGCACCTGCAGGCCTGTTCTGCATAGTATAATTACTCCCCCAATTACTAAAGCGCAGATTCTCGCAAATCTTGCGCGATTCCCTCTTCATAACGCCTTCTTAATGCATTGAGTCTATCCCATTGCAGGTGTATGACGAATTCGTAGATCGATCCCAAGATCTGGAACTGAACGCTTGATTCTGGGCGACTCCATTCGAACCATCTACGCAACAAGGACCTCAGGTAGCTATGTACTTTATGTGTTAGCTTTGTATCCCATTTTTGAGCAGAATTTCTGCCCTGACGACAATGTTTCATTTTAAGATTGATGGCCAGCAAGTGGAGGAAATTCTCCGACATGTGGAGAGTGGGAAACGCGATGGTGCCCACCTTGTAACAGGCAAGAAAAGTGTTGAATATATTGATTCATTTATAAATTAGGATAGGTATCGATTTTTCCTTTAGGTGGTACGAAATGGGGTGATCGTGGCCATTACGTTTTGCCGGCAGTTTTTGCGAAAGTTGATCATCATATGGCCATTGCAAAAGAAGAAGTGAGTTTGGCTTGACAGTTCAGTTCAACTAGAACTGCCTCTCTGTTGAGTTACCGTTTTCAAGGTGCCAAAGTTCATGAGCGTTTTAAAAAAGTGAGCTGAGGACTTTTGAGGGTCCCCGGCTAGTTGAGCTGACATACTACATTATTGCCGCGCTATACCATTTGCATCCTGGTGCGAACGTCGCGCGCACGATACCGTTGCAACGCCTGCTTGACAGCTCTCGCTGCGACCCGCAAAAATTCAATTTTAGGAGTTCTGAAGGAACCACTACAACAGCTGCTTCTGATAACTGATTTTAGAAGATTATTGGTGACGACTTTACTCCCTCCTCTCCCCTCCCACGCCGCACCACTCCAATTTCAGGAAAAATAGATTTTACCACAAACTGGGAAAAGTGGTACGAAATTGGGAAAATCTAGGGAGATGGTAGATATGATGGGGAAGGGGGGGGGTCATGAACACCGCCATTTCACACGTCACGTCTTCTTTACCCTGGCGTTCGTTGTGCAATCGTTTATTTTCAGGTTATCGGACCTGTCAAAAAGCTGATTCGTTTTGACTCGATGGAAGATCTGCTCAAAAAGTCCAGTACCTCACAGAATCATCCACCTGCGGCCGTGATTACAAAGGACGCTGACAAAGCGAAACATATCGCCCAGAACACGGTGCCCGGGTCAATATGGTAGGTCCTCCCTATATCTGCAGGTTAATGCCAACTCAAAAGCTCCTTTCAGGGTGAACACTGATTGCAGAAGTAGCGCTGGCAGTATCATGGGGACACATAAGTACTTAGGTAAGATTTGAAAAATAATTTTTTAGTGCAAAAAATAATGTAAGGGTTTACAGGTCAAAGACATTCTCCCGCAGCGGCGACCGACGAGTCGGCAGCCGATTCGATAGGATTCTCGGATAGCAGTTTATTGAGAAGAAGCACTCTCTGAAGACAACCAGTCTCAACCATAAGAAATCAATTGTAATTTCTCAATTCTCTGATGGGTATGTACATACCAATGTCGTGCCTGTACATACTCGAATCTGAACTGTTATTGATTGATGATGACAAAAGCACAATAATATTAATAATAATAATGTTGATATTGTTGGTAATATTGCTAATAAATGTGCTGTTACTAATGTACTGCTATCGGATTTTTATATTCCTTCAACACTCAGATGCAAACGGTCAGGCAGGGATCAACTACGTCGCTGCGTTCTGTCGCGCCTGCGCGCCGGACATGCAGAATTCCTGCGGTCTATGGCCCTCTCAATGACAGCGTGGAAGAGAACCTACTATTTTTATAGTACGGCAACGTCTGCTTGTCTGCAAGCGTCTAGTCCTGTTTGGCCGAGAATTCGGAACCACCTGAAGAGCCAGTTGGAGGGGGCGGGTCAAGGGTAGGTTGGGTAGGGCATGGGCCAAGATGTACGGAACACACATGAAGTAATCATAAGCCGCCCACTGTTTTTCTGGGCGCGGCGTGCGCCGCACCTTAGGAGCTACATTTTTCAAAAATTCGTAGTTCGGTTCCAAAAAAGCCCCGAGAATGGAAAAAGTGGTAAACGATAGACAATCAGTTGGAGGGCGAAATGAGTGAGACAAACCCATTCTGGGCGGGGCGTTCTATAGGTGAGCGGTGCTTGCTACGGAACTTTCAAAAATTCGTTCGGTTCCAAAAGAGACAGCGGAAAAAGTGGCAAACGATAGGCAACCGGCCGATCCGACTGGCCCTCCCTCTCATGGAAAACTTCTCACCGGGACCCACTTCACACGCGGAAGGAGGATCGGCCGGCGAAGCCGGCCGATCCGACTGGTCAGTAAAACATCTCGAAAAGAAGACAGCGATTAAAGCGCAAGCCCTGCGAAAAGAAGATCGCGCCCGAGCGAAGGTGCCGACTAAAGTAAAATAAAAATGTGAAATCAAATTCTGTTAGACTTTGAACCCTCAGAATGTCATATTTTGTGATATTCTAAAAAGCAGCGAAAATTCTTGCAAAGTACAGTTTACTGATAAAAAGTTGGATGCATGGTGTGGTGCAGTGATGCAGTTCAGCACATCCGAGTCGCAGCAAGGGCGGAAAGAGGCGTTATAAAAGGTGTCACATACGCGGAACTCGCACCAGAATTCAATTGACACACCGTGAACATGCCGCGGCTCGGATGTTCTAAGCTATACACTTATGAAAACTACACTAACCTTAATGGCGGCTAGGACTTGTCTCGACTCTTCCCTGGGATCAGTGCGAAAAAAGTGTCCATTTCATGTAGAATCCATTTCAAGCCTAAAAAGAGGATTTTCATTCTTTATAATAATTCAAATGGAACGTTTTTTCACTGGGAAAGAGACAGCTGATCGTGCTATAAGCTGCAAAAAAAAACACTAACACCCATTATGCACGACACATTCTCCCCATCGAAGGGCTAAAATAGGCGCGTTCACGTTGATTATCTCAGTGACGAGTTTCTTCCCTTGAACATATGTCTCTATCGTCTTGGCCCTCGCTGCTCAAGCAAACACGCCCTTTGTTGGCCTGGAACTGTGGATGGGCAGCAAATGTTGCGATTTTGACAGTGGATGCTGAATTACTAGCTTGAACAGTAGCGGAGACCCAAAGTAAAAGTCTTCGATCAATCCCTTTGTGGGATGCGGCACGCATTCTACTTCCATTCAGAATCGTAGTGGCTTATTGAATGCGATGTGGCCTATACAATGACTTGCGGGGCCAGC